AAAAGGTGTGGCAGAGAAGAGAAACTCTGCATCTGACGGTTCAGCATAACTCATGGCCTGTAGTCCAGATTCTCACCAGGATGGGGAATCATTACACTGTGGGAAATGTCCAAACCAGTCTCTGACAAAATCTCAAGTCAAGGTGTGAAAACTAGAACCTCCCACCCTCTCTACCAGCTGGGCTCTGCAGAAAAGTAGGTGGATGTGACCCTTCAGGAGGCTGCCTAGGGGCTGGTTCACTGTGGACAACCCTAACATATCCTGGAATTCTCAGTAGGAAAATCCTTCCACACACATATTAACCTGGCAATAAGGAAAAAAAAAATTCCTCCGAGGACAAAAAATTCTCTCTGAGTGAAAAGGAGGGGGAAGAAGAAACAAAGGCACAAGGCCAGTGCTGGAAGAGCAGAAGACTTGCTTGTTTTGCTCACTGCTGGATTCTGAACACTGCCTGCCACGTAGCAGGCTCTCAATAACAGGGAGGGTGTGGGGCTGGGAGCAAATCTGACTTCTCAAGACAACAACAGGAGTAAGTCCTTGGGGAGTAAAAATCAGACAAGTAGACACGGAAATCTAAAAAAGGAAGCTGAGATAAATATCAACTCCTCATTTCTTACATTAGGTTTTTATAATTAGAAATGTATCCAAGGCAAGCCTGTGCCAACCCACAACAAAGCTCCCGTGACCTGCACGGGGTGACCCACTCTGGGAGGTGCTTGGTGCTGAGTCGGGCCAATCTCCAGGGGCTCCCTCTGCACAGCGTCTCTTCTCGCATCCCAGCCCAAGGCAGGGGCAAAGCCTGGACAGTGAAGGTGCCTCCGCCGGGTCCCCTTCGTCGGTGGTAGCACACCTAGAGCCATTTTTGAGCACCATTAAGGAGGGAAGGAAACAAAGAAACCGTTTCGCCAACAGCCTGGCTGCCAGGAGGCAATGCATTTGAGCCATTTCCAAACCACAGACTCCATCTATTTTCATGGATTCTCACTTGCATAAAAACTTGTCTCTAAATATGAGACTTTCCTCAAGTGAGTTAATACCCTTGCACATTAAGTTTCCTCATCTTGGAAAAGGACATAAAAGTCTAAACGACTTTAGTGACTGTTGTGAAGCTGAGAAGTGAAAAATAAAGCAAACGGCCCAGTACCAGAGGACGCGCTTGACCGAGCTGTTATCATCACAGAAGCCATGCTTATTTTGTAAGCAGATGAGGAAGGCATTTTGTGAGGTTCAAGAATTTCATGTTCAGATCCAGGCCTGGACTATTTAAAGCTGGGTAGGTCCTTAGTCCTAAGCCAATGAATGATCCACTAATCCCAACCTCCCTGCCGCTGCTGGGTCTGCTTCAGCCCCAGTGAAGGCCCACAGCAACACAGAGCTCCTGCCACAGGACAGAGGTCCACCCTCTCACTGTGCATAAGAAACTCCCTGTATATGCAGTAGGACCAGGGAAGTAATCAAACTAACTGGCCGAACATGCTGGAACCTGGCATGGCTGAGGGCAGACAGCAGGAATAGCATGGGACAGTGGAGAGAATATAATCAGAGCCAGCACACAAGAGTTCAGGGCTGGACTGCCACTTTTAGCTGGATACCCAATTCTTCACCTCCCCTGGCCCTGATTTCCTGTTATAAACTGGAAGCTTATGCTAGATTAACTCTCAACTTCCTTTTCAGCTCTACACTCAGTGAGACTGTGGAATGGTAAAAGCCAAGGGAATGGATGGCATGAGCAAAGTAGACATAAAGATATCAGAGAGAGAGGAAGAAAAAGAACTAAGAATGTGAGTGTGATGATGGGAACACTACGGTCACTAAGAGGCGTAAGTCAAACATTCCCGAGGATACAGACTTGGAGGATGTGCTGGGCTAAATGCCTCGGGGAAGACCAACAAGGAAAATTCTAACAAGTCAGCAGCCTAGAACAATTCTCTTCAGAAATACAGCACCAGCCAGAAAGAACCTTGTTTCTTCAGGGACTAGGGAGCCGAGAAAGTATTCTGGGGACCTGGTGGAGAACGTGGACAACTCCAAAGTCAAACTTACAGCTGGGCTCTTCAGGTACAGCAGTTAGCTACAAACCACTCACACCAGAAGCTGAGAGCGCAGACTCTGGAGACAGAATGCCTGGGTTCAAATCTTGCCTCCATGACTTACTAGACTTGGGGACTTGGCCAAGTGACCTAACCTCACTGTGCCTCAGTGTCTTCTTCGGTTAAATGGGCATAAAACCTGAACCTGCCTCACAGAACATTCTGAAGATCAACTGAGCCCTTTGAGCAGGTCAGGCACCTGGTAAGTAGTAAACACTAAGTAAGTGTCAGCTTATTTACTTCTTTTCTGCCACAGAGTAGGATGTTTACACGAAATCACTGCAAAGTCACTCATTGTCCTCATTAAAAAAAAAAAAAAATAGGAGCAGGATTTTCTAAGGCCTCAACAGAAAAAGAAACACAATTCTGTCGCCTTTTTGTTCCCTGGGTGGGGTCAGGAAAAAAAATCTCCCCCTAGTGGTGGTGCCTCTAACACATCCTTGAGGTCCCAGGTGCTTTCCATTCCCAAGGCCCCCCAAAGACCCTAGGGGCCTCACACAGGCTGGCACCAGGAAACCACGGGTCTGTGGGGCTTCCTCTGGAGAACCAGAGGCACCACCCCCCAACCCCCAGCATTTACCTTAAAGGTACTGCTGTTAGCCTAACTTGAAGGCAACCATTTTTTGGTACCAGGACATTAGCAATGCTATATCTTCTTTACTTCTCCTGCCCTGTTATAGCCCCAGAGGTTTCCACCTCTTGCCTCTTGCACCTAATCTCCTCCATGTTTTTCTTTTCTTTTCTTTTTGACAGGCAGAGTGGACAATGAGAGAGAGACAGAGAGAAAGGTCTTCCTTTGCCGTTGGTTCACCCTCCAATGGCCACCGCGGCTGGCGCGCTGCGGCCAGCGCACCGCAGTGATCTGATGGCAGGAGCCAGGTGCTTCTCCTGGTTTCCTATGGGGTGCAGGGCCCAAGCACTTGGGCCATCCTCCACTGCACTCCCTGGCCACAGCAGAGAGCTGGCCTGGAAGAGGGGCAACCGGGACAGAATCCGGTGCCTCGACTGGGACTAGAACCCGGTGTCCCTGCACTGCAAGGCGGAGTATTAGCCTAGTGAGCTGCGGCGCCGGCCCCATGTTTTTCTATTCATCTTATACCATGGTGCATTCTTTCCAGATGCTATGCAAAATGCTGTTAGTGTACTAACATATCTACAGCTTCCCAGAATCATCACACATAGGAAAATACGGCGCATCGACATTCGCATTTACAAGTAAGAACAGCACTTTCACAGAATCAACAACATTCATGAACTAAATCAAACCACACCCTTCCAAGGCTCTCTCCTGAGGACTGAGCTCCAAGGACTCATTTGATTTCCATCTGCAAGGCAAAATTAATATGAAGTAGACCAAGCAAGCTGGCCTGCTGACAAGACACCGGTGGTTCCTCAATTTGGAAAGTATGACTTGGAAAAAGAGCAATCAGGGCCAGCGACCACCCCACGTTTCTGTGAAGAGTTACCTTATAGGACAGCACAAAGAAAGCAAATGGCATCCCCCGGGTCCTGTTTACTTCACCCCATGTGCCATGGAACGGAAGTTGCCTCCAGGGAGGCTGCGAGGGAAAGACTGTCAGGACAGCAGAATGCTGTGTCTGAGCTGGCTAACACACTTCTCTGGCTCTTTCCACCACATGTTCTGGTCCTGCCAGAGAGGAGTGGGAAACTGCATTTCTTGAGTTCTGTGCATGACACTTCATCAACCGTCTCAGTAAATACAAGGAAGTTACATCTGTAATCTAAAAACTAACTAGGGACAGGTGTTTGGCACAGCAGTTAGGCTACCACTTAGAGTGCCTAGATTCAGGTCCAGCCCCACTCCCTATTCTAGCTTCCTGGGGCCAGGCCAGACCAAAGTCAGAATCAATCCAGGTCTCCCACATGGGTGGCAGAAACCCAAGTACTTGAGCCATCAGCTGCCGCCTCCCAGGATTAGCATCAGCAGAAAGCTGGAACTGGAAGCAGACCTAGGACATGAACCCAGGCATGCTGACAAGGAACCAGGCATCCCAAGTGGTGTCTTAACCACTGTGCCAAACACCTGCCCCCAAACCTGGACTTTTTTTCTGAAGACTCATTTCCTAAAAGTTACCTTGGATTTTCAAGATTTCAGAACATCATTACAGAAAAACTTTCGCAACCCATCTTTGATATTAATATACACATTCCTCTGTACAGAAAGGTAACTATTGCCAAAAAATAAAATCCTCATAACATATCCCTCTATTCCCTCTCAAAAAGTAAAGTTCAAGTCTTACCAGACGTTAAACTAGTCTCAAAAGGAAACACTTCAAATGACTTGTCAGGCTAGACCTCCTAAGCTGCCAAAGACACACTGTTAACAAACTTAAGTGTTTGCTAAATTCAAATTACTAGGTAAAACTGATACACTTTCCAGCACCAAATTAAGTGAACCACGACAGAGAGAAAGACTAAACAGGGAGAGTGGGATAGACCTGGACAAAAGCCTCATCCAATAGGCTAAAGACTACTAAAGGATCTGGTTAAAAGCAAGCTGGGCTCAGATGCTTTCAATAAGTGAGCAGCTACGCATTAAATATCCAGGATAGAAAGGAGTCACAAGAGAAAAGGACAGAACAAGGCACAGTGAAACCCTTCTTATGTGCAAACACACTCATCCCCACTATGTGTGCTGTGGAAGCAGAGTCTGTGCTTTTGGCTCTACCAGATGTGTTTCTCTGGCAACTTTCCTAATCTCTCTCAGCCTTAGTTTCTCAACCTGCAAAATGGGGCCAATAAAACCCATCCCATAGAGTTTTAGTAGGGGCTGAATTAAATAAGGCACATTAGGGAGGGCATCTCTCAGCAGACAGAAACAGGATTTCCTTTTCAGTCGCAGCCTGTGTCAAGAACACGATCTCACACACAGCGAACATTGCATTCTACCTGGAAAGGTTCTGTCTTCATCTCCCCCACGCAGAGGAACGCCCTTATTTTCGGGCATGTACTTCTTGGTAATGGGTAAGGACATCAGCCGAATGTGATGGATGAGTGAGCGCCAGGTGTGAGTTCCGGAAAGCACCGGTTCAGGTGCTAATGCGCTAAAAGGCTGAATCACAAAGTAGGCAGTGAGCAAGATTAATCCCAGGGTTACAAGGACCTACAACAAAAGACAGGAAAGGAATTAATAACAGTACCAGCAAACAAAATACCTTAACGCCAAGAAAAACACACAGGCCTCTTCTGCTATTTTGGATGTGCCTTAAGTTCCAATCCATTTTCATAAATGAGCTGTTTACATTCACTTCCCGAAAGCTCTGAGAACTATCAGGACCACAAAGCTCACTAAGGTTCTCTCATGCAGTCAGGGGCTCTGTCCCACGCTTTTTAAAAAAGTACACAAAAAGACAGTGTAATCATATGCACACAGCTTTCATCTATGACAGTCAACAATATAGTCAAATGTCCCAGGAACACAAGGTAATACGGCCAATCTATTGATAGACAAACCAAGGCTCAAATGGTGGAATCAGTCAAGAGTAACATCTGGAAGGAACACAACGAAGAGTCTGCACTCTGCCTAAGCGAGTCACAGCACATTTTTACCTTATACACAGCTATAAGGAGAGGATACTGGGGCGGCCCCCTCTGAGGTTCATTCTTTTCCAGCAGCTGTCTGATAAATTTTTCTATTGCCTTCTCAGACATGCCACACTGATGGCCTGTCTGTCTCACCAAGTCAACAGTCTCTGCAAGTTTGTCATAAATGCTGAGCTCATTGGCAGCAAGATCCATGTCTTCGAATACAAAATCCCTGAGAGAAAGAAAATACGTGTGAAAAGAAAGACGGATTCTTGAAAGTACATCTTCCTCAAAGCTTCTTCTTTTGAAACAGTGCTCTGGGCCACCTGCGGGGAAGGACCCACGGTTACGGTACTAGAACACTCAAATACAGTGAGACACGTGAAGCTGCTGTGGCACAAGCCTTTCCAGGCTCTGAGTGGCGGCTGGGAGGAGCCGACAGAGCGCGTCGTTCCCAGCCCTCTGAGGGCGCTGTCTCCAGCGCGTCCCTGCTGGATCTCCGAAGCACTGAAGGCACCCAGCCACACTCCCGAAACCGCTGCTGGTCATTCAGAATAAGGGGTGGAATGTGAGCAGTGCTGCTGGCAAATTATTTCCTTCCAACTACACCAGACAGACCTTTCAGCAACACAAGAGGAGGAACGGTCACCAAAGGTGAGATTTACTTTGAGAACACGCTGGTAAGCTTCGCTCCTGGAGAACAGAGATTTTACACAACACAAAAACCACGGCACGGGAGTTTCTCAGATCATACAGCTTGCTGTCCTCATGCTTTCCCACAAGTGCAACTTTAGACTAGGAGGGGTATTTTATATTTTATATACCTAAAAGATCTAAGATCTAGAACTAATTTCAGAATTAAATTCATATTCTCATAGTTTTTCAGAGTGTTTCATAGTGGCCACAAAATAACAGGTAAGAACTAAAGTGGCAAAAGGACCATTTGGAAAATGAAAATAAATACTAACTCTTTTCAAAAAGTATTTGTGCTGGGTCACCTATTTGTTTAGCCTAGTAGTTGGGAATGCTGGTTAAGATGCCCTCATTCTATCCCGGCTCCATTCCTAATTCCAGCTTCCTGTTAATGCAGACCCTGGGAGGCAACGGTGATGGCTCAAGTAGTTGGTCCACAGTGGAGACCTGGGCTGAGTTCCTGGCTCCCAGCTTCAGGCTGGCCTGGCTAAGCCCCAGCAGCTGGAAGCATCTGGATAGTAAACTAGTAGATGGGAGTTTGTCTCTCTCCCTCTTGAATTAAAAAAAAAAAAAGAATTAAAAAGTGCTTTTGATACAAAACACTATTTTTCTTCATAAAGGAACAACAATGCTTAGTTTCTCTTCCTCTGTTTGTTTTCTGTGGGGTATTTTGTTCGTTTTTTTTTTTTTTTTTTTTTTTCGTGTAGAGCAGAAAGTTCTCTTATCCCATATACTTCATTCCCAAAGTGCTTCTAACCTCACACAGCACTGACATGTACTCTTTCAGTAAGATGCTGCCACCTGTAGGGTAGAAGATGGCAATCATGTCACTGCAAGAGAGAAGGGAGGCGCTGCAATGCCACCACCCAGAATGCGTCAGCGTGCCTCTTCTGCAGTAAAACAAAAATGCCCAGGTAGGGAACACAGAATGGTACAGCCACTGTGGAAGACAGTTTGGTAGGTCATCAAAAATTTAAATACAGGGTTGCCATATGACCCAGCAATTCTACTGCTAGGTATGTACCCAAGAGAACTGAAAACATGTCCACACAAAAACTTAAACTCAAATGTTAATTGCTACATTATTCATATTAGTTCCAAATGGAAGCAGTCCAAATGTCCATGAACTGATGAATGAATAAACAAAATGTGGTATATCCATGTTCATATCACAGAATACTATTGGAAAATACAAACCAAAATTAAAAATTAGAAAATACACAGGCCACAACATGGATGACCTTGATAACATGATGCTAAGTGAAAGAAGACTGCCATCAAAAACCATGTACTATGATTACATTTATACAAAAAGCCAAGCATTGGCAAATCCAGAGAGAGAGTAAATGTATTAATTAGTGGTTGCTTAGGGGAAAGAATGAAGCGAATGAGGAGTGAATGTAAATGGGAAAGGTGTTCCTTTCTAGAGTGACAAAAATGTCCTAAACTTAGGTTATGGTAACAGTTACACAATTTTATGATTATACTAAAAGCTAATGAATTGCATTTTAAAGTTTACTTTTTTTTTTTTTTTTTTTTGACAGGCAGAGTGGACAGTGAGAGAGACAGAGAGAAAGGTCTTCCTTTTCCGTTGGTTCACCCTCCAATGGCCACCGGGGCCGGCATACTGCACTGATCCGATGGCAGGAACCAGGTGCTTATCCTGGTCTCCCATGGGGTGCAGGGCCCAAGCACTTGGGCCATCCTCCACTGCACTCCCTGGCCACAGCAGAGAGCTGGCCTGGAAGAGGGGCAACCGGGACAGAATCCGGCACCCCGACCGGGACTAGAACCCAGAGTGCCGGCGCTGCAAGATGGAGGATTAGCCTAGTGAGCCGCGGTGCCAGCAAGTTTACTTATTTTTATTTATTTGAAAGGCAGAGCAACAGACACACAGAGATAGACAAAAAGAGAAGAGAGATCTTCTATTCACTGGTGGTTCACTCCCCAGCTAGGGCTGGGCCAGATGGAAGACAGGAGCCATGAGTTCCATCCACATCCCCCAAATGGGTAGCAGAGCCCCAGGTACTTGAGCCATCCTTTTCTGCCTCCTAGGGTACATATTATTGTTTCAAGATTTATTTATTTGAAAGGCGGTGACAGAAAGAAGGAGGGGACACACACACACACACACACACACACAGAGAAATATTTTCCAGTTGCTGGTTCACTCTCCAAATGCCTGCATCAGCCAGAGCTGGGCCAGGATGAACCCTGGAGTCCAGAACCCCATTTGGGTTTCCATGTGGGTGGCAAGGACTCAAGTAGCTGGGCCATCATCTGCTGCCTTCCCAGGCACATTAGCAGGGAGCTGGATCGGATGCAGAGGTGCAGCTTGAACCAGGACTCCAATAGCAGGCTTCCCAAGTGGCAGCTTACCCTGCTATGCCACCACACTCATTCCAAACAGTACATTCTAAAGAGGCAAACTTTATGGAACGTAAGTTTATTATCTTGATAAAGATGTTTTAAAATTATATATTTATAGAATTTAAAGGTATTCATTCTTGTGTTGCATTCATTATATGACACTGTGTTCCACCCCTCCCACTGCTAACCACCAGACTACAGGAGTAGGAGGTATCTTACATATTCTTACTACGGTACAGCGTCCTGTACATATAGCAGGCATTTGATTACATGTGTTAACAAAAAATGAGAAACTCGGCGTGTGGGGGGTGAAACTTACAACACAACGGAATTCTTTTTGAGATCCTCCTGTGAAAGGTTCTTTCCAGTAGACTCTCTTAAAGCATGTGCTTAACCACCGCAAACTATGTGTTAGTGTCCATAAGCAGGACAACCGTTTTAGGCTGTCCAGGTCAGATGTCTTAATTTCCAGTGGGTGAGATGAATCTAGACTACCCAGTTGTCTCCTGAACCTCATCTGGACCTCATATACTCTCTACTCAGTCATTAGCAACCAGGAGGAAGGATTGCAAAAGATAAACAGCCTTACTAAAAACAAACAAAAAGCAAAGAAAAACAGAAATTAAGATGTAGCATCTCCAACTAATAATAGGTCAGGAGTAATCATCTCTGGGAGATGAGATTATATTTTTATTTCCTTTGTGCTTTTCCATATTTTCTGGACTTCTGTATTAATTTAGTAATCACAAAAATCCCACAGATACTCTTAAGGAACATAATCGGGCACAAAATGAGTCAGAGATTTGCAGTGACGAATGGCCTGGGCACCACAGGGAAGAAACAAAGCACGGTTTGCCACCCATGCTGAGCGTGACGTTCTGGCTCCCCACGGAGTTGGATCTGAAATGCTACAGCTACAAAAAACAGAAGCGGCACTGCATTAGGAGAGAAGAGGCCTGAGTTTGGGGCTACGCTTCACCGATCAATAGCAAAATAGTCTGTTTTTATTTATTTGAGAGACAGAACTCCCACCTGCTGGCTCACTTCCCAAATGTCTGCAATGTTGCAAGTTGGGCAGGGGCTGAAGCCCAAAGCCAGGAGCGGGAACCCAGCCCAGGAAGCCTGAGTCAGGAACCAGAGCCAGGAAATGGACCCAGGTACCCTGATGTGGGGACACAGGTGTCTTAACCAGACAGTCTTAGCTGCTGGGCTAAACGATTCTGGCTAAGTCACTTTGTCTATTTCCTCACCCAAAAACAAGATACTGGACCACGGGGTCTTGAAAGTCTCCTGCTCTAAAAATCTGTGAATACACAAGGAAGGAACTGAAGACTTCGCGGCCTACTGCTCCTGCCCCAGAAGCCAGGCTGTGTGCGCGGCACTCCAGAGACGCTGCTTCAGTGCCTCGCCGCCAGGATGCCAGCTGTGGGACTCACTGCATTTCACAGATTTCACTAAACAGAGAGCTTTCCTAACTGGCCAGGATGTGAACCCAAGTGTGCCTGGCTCCAGGGCTCTGCTGTGCTTTACCCCTTATTCACGCTGCCTCCCCAGCCAGGGATTTTCCTACCCTGAGCTGCCCGTTCTGAGAACACCACATTCACACCCTGATCATCCCTCCAAAGTGGCTGGGAACTGAAACTGACCTACGACAGTGATGCCTGCAGAAAGAGCAACATGAGACCTTATTACAGTGTTTCCACATCTTGGCTTTCTGACCAGGATTCCTGAGATAGTATGTTCCTGTTTAAGTTGGAGACACTTTTATTGTCACACAGAGGGACACTACTGGGATCCAGGTGGACATGTTAAACTAACAACAACAAAAAAAGTTTGCCCCTTTAAAAAAAAAAAAATCAAACGCAAAGCTACAGTGAAAACATCAAGCATGAGGGGCTGAGTGACGTCCACCGAAGCTTGAAGGGATTCATTACCTCCGGAAAGAGGGTCCGACTCTGGCAGAAGTGAGCTTTGCCACAGGGGGACGTTCAGAGGAGTGGCTTAAACCTGCAAGGGCATAGGCAGGATCACTAGATTTATAAAAACCAAGGTATCACGCAGCACCCTGGGCATACAGCAGTTCCCCCTTACCCACAAGGAAAACATTTCACAACCCCCAGTGGGTGCCTGAAACTGTGGCAAGTATGGAACCCAACATATACAATGAATTTTCAGGTATATAAGCCTTTGATAAAGGTTAATTTATAAACTGGACACATTAAGAGCTTAATAACAACTAACAGCACAATAGAGCAATTATAGCTAAATAGAGTAATAGAAGTTAAGTGAATGTGGTGTCTGTCTGTCTCTCTCTCTCAAAATATTTTACTACAGCATACTCACCCTTCCTCATGTGGTGGTGTGAGATGATGCAATGTCCAAGTGATGAGATGAAGTGAGGTGAGAGGCGCGGGCGTTGTGACAGTGTTAGGCTACATCAGGTTACCCACCAAAAGTACTGCAATAGCAGGGCAGTTAACCTGATGACTGGGATAGCCAGCAAGCACTTAAGACGGTACTGTAAGCACTGTGCAGACTCTAGACAAAGGAACGATTTAGGGCAGCATTCACTGCGTGTGAGACTTCATCATGCTGTTTGGAATAGAGTATAATTTAAAGCTTAAGGACTGTGTGTTTCTGGGATTGCCTATGTATTACTTTCAGACTGCAGCTGACCATGGGTAGCTGAAACAGTGGAAAGCGAGGTCTCTTACACTGAATACCTGGAAGTGGGGTCCAGGCACAGAAGTTTTCAACCCCCTTCTCTGCTGACTGAAAGCATCCCTTGATTAAGAGACACTTAAAACAGCAGTTCTCAAGTGGGAGTGACACTTGGCCAGTCTGAAGATATTTTTGATCTCAGATATTTGTCCAAACTGGCGGGGTTACCACTGGCATGTAGAGGGTAAAGACTAGACACCCTGCAAGGCAGGGGACAGCCCCACACAACAAAGCTCACTCAAAATGGTACAAGTGCCCAGATACGAAAATCCGCCTTCAAGAGAGGCCCATGGGAGGTAAGCCGGAGAGCTGTTGCACTTCTGAAATCAGGACTAGGATGAACTGACCGCTCTAGATGGTCTCCACAACTCTCCCGGGTCTCAGGCTAAGGACCAAGGCAGGGGCACATCTGACACAACTCGGATAGAAGTGACGAATAAAAATGCTGGCTGAAGCTGTAAACAGATTAAGGGTCAGACTAAATGTAAACCTCACGTGTGCACTGCTTACTAGAGAATCAATTCCCCTACTGATACATGTCCTGGACATGGAGGTCACAGTTTCCGAACTATGCCCGGGGGACGACTAAGACGCGACACTGGTTAGAACACAAACCAGGCCACGCTTTCTGCAGCTCCTAACGTTTCAAAAGTTCACCTGGATACGTCCCATTCTTCATCCAGAGTGACACCAGACTCTTTTCCCCCTACCTGGCTCCTCAGCATTATACTAGCTATGCAGTATGGTGCGCATTCTTCTGTATTCATTCACCTTCATTGAATATATGTTCTACTAAAGGGGGAAATATATTTCCTATATTGTATCAAAAACCAGTAAGCAAACGTAAACATCATACTTAAAGGAAAAAACTAGTAAAACATTAAAATGATCAATATGAATTAGAAGTAATCATTTTAATGATTTAAATGCAATAAGCACTTAAAATTCTAAATCAAGGTACATTGTTGGTAGGAATGCAAATTGTACAGTCACTATGGAAAACAGTGTAAGTTCCTAAAATGAATTAAAAACAGAACATATAAGAGAACTACCATATGAACCAGCAATCCATTTCCGGGTATATGTATCCAAAGGAAAAAAATCTGGATCTCAAAGATACAGCTATACTTCCATGTTCACTGCAACATTATTCACAATAGCCAAGACATAAAAAGAACTCAAATGTCCATGGATGGGTTCATGGATAGAGAAAATGTAGTATATACATATAATGGAATAGTGTTTGGTCTTGAAAAAGGAAATTCTGCTATTTGCAACACTATGGATGGATCCACTGAACAATATATGCCAAGTGAAGGAAGCCAGACAAAAGAGAGACTATATTATGCCACTTACATGGGCAACCTAAAATAGTTAAATCCATAGAATCAGAGTGAAATGGTGGGTGTGGGAGATGGGAGCAGGGGAACAAGGGGGTGGTAGTCAAGGAGTACAATTTCAGTTATGTAGATGACTAAGTCCTAGAGAACTACAGTACAGCACAGAGCCTAAGCTAACATTTTACTGTATACTCATAAAAGAGGCCACAGCACATTTTTACTGTTTAGAACGACAAATCAGAAACAGAAAGGCAAGAGCTGGTGGCGCAGATTGAGGTGCTGGTATACACTTGTCTCTAAACCCATCAAGTGCACATATGAAATATGCGCAGCTTTTTCAGTCATATCCCAATTAAACAAATTTTTTTAATTTGCAATCAAAGGATTCTACCCCTTCTGTACTTTATCATCAATCGAATCTAATGGCCCTCCTGCACATCTCGTTCCAGTGAGACCGCCAGAGCACGTCCTCCCTTCACGCTCTGCAAATATGCCGCTTTGAGTTAGGAGAGAAAACAACCATCATGTGGACACATCCTCAAGTCTACATTCCCCCACACCCCGAAGTTCTTATTTTAAAAATTTTCTAACTTCTAGAAAAACAGAAATAATCTAGTGAACAGCTGTCTTAGATCCTCGCTTAGGCCCACCAATAGTTAACAGTTAGCCAATACTTGTTTTCTCTCTCGCTCTGTTTCCCAGACCCATTTGAAAGTTAGTTGCAACACATCATGAAATCATTCCTAAATATTTCAGCATGAATCTTCTAACCACAGTATTCTATATAACATTTGAATACCTGGTAAAATTAAATAATTCTATAATGTTACCTAATATTCAGTCTATAGTCAAATGTTCCTATTAAAAAAAAAAAAAAACACACACACATAGTTTTTTAAAAATCCAGGATCCAGGGGCCAGTGCTGTGGCACAGCAGGTAAAGCTGCCACCTGCAGTGCTGGCATCCCATATGGGTACTGGTTCAAGTCCCAGCTGCTCCACTTCTGATCCAGCTCTCTGCTATGGCCTGGGAAAGCAGTAGAAGATGGCCCAAGTCCTTGGGCCCCTGCACCTGCGTGGGAGACCCACAAGAAGCTCCTGGCTGCTGGCCTCAGATCGGCCCAGGTCTGGCCGTTGCGGCCATCTGGGGAGTGAACCATCAGATGGAGGACCTCTCTCTCCTTCTCTCTGTCTGCCTCTCTGTAACTCTGCCTTCCAAAAAAAAAAAAAAAAAAAAAAAAAAAAAAACCTTAAAAAAAAATCTAGGATCCAACTCCAACATATTGCAATCTGGCTGCCATGTCTCTTTGATCTACCTACATATACAAATTCCTGCTTCCTTCTTTTTTGGTCTTTCTGACACTGACATATTTGAAGCAGGAAGTCTCCACATTTTTAAATGCACCTCTATCTACTCCCATCCTCATCTTTTCCAGTTTCTACTCTTTAAAAAAAAAAAAAAAAAAAATCCTCGCTAGATTTCCAGTACTCTGCCCTCCTGTCTCCACTGAGCGATAAGCTCCCAGGAAGGGGCTGGGGGTGGGTTGAGGGAGGTGGGGACCCTCACTCACTTTGTTCCTCAGGTCTCCATTCATTTATCAATCTGCTGGAATCATATTTCTGACCCTCTCATTCCACCGTTTCTGCTCTAAGGTCACCAATGACTTTCTAAATACCAAGCCCAAAGGACAACTTCAGTTGTGACCTTATCTGACCTCTGTGCCGCAGCTGCCACTGCCGCCCATTATCTCTCCCGAGAACTCTCAACCCTTGGCACAGTCCTCTTGCTCTCTTGCCAGAGGCTGGCATTCACCGCAGTTGTCCTTGACCTTCCCCCTTCCCTCTGCCCTTCTACCCGGCAGCTGTTAATGACTCCCCAATGTCTTCTCCAGTCTAGAGTTCACCGCAGAGCTCAAGACCCATCTACTTAACCACCTCCCACACTCAGACCAAATTTCCCATAGTTCCCTATACCTAATGTGTCTATAACTGAACTTAGTGTTTCTCCCTTCAACCCATTCCCCCTACTGCATTCATTTTCCTAATGGAAACACCAGTCCTCCAAACAGGAAAACCTCTTTTCTTCCTGTCTCTTTCCCACCACTGAAACTGTCCCTAAATCCTCATGATTCAACCTTCTAGAGAATTCTCATAGCCATCGTTGCCTCTCTAGCTCTGCCAACATTAAAGGCAGTCAAGGGCCTCAACATCCCTCCACGGGCCACCAAAGACACGGTTACGCTTCTTGTCTCTAGTCCATACTCTATGCTATCCACAAGCTGTTTTTCTGAAGCACTTACTGGTTCACGCTAGAAACCTTCCAGGGCTCACCATCCTCTGCTGGAGTACAGTTCAGCATACGGCAAAGAACACAGGCGCTGGAGCTAGAAAAAGCTGGAAGCAAATTCTAGATTTCTCTAAGTACTCTGTGGCCCTGAGATACTACTTACAATTAGCCTTGGCGTGTTTATTTATAAAACCAGGATAATTATGTCTACTCCAAAATTTTAACAGGATTCTACAACGTTATAGAAAACATCTGTTCCAATTTCCAGACAAATTAAATACTTAACTGTTATAAGATAAAGTCCAAATTACTTACCGTAGTCTTAAATGCTCTGGTCACTGCCTATCTGTTCAGTCTCATTTTCTATTAATCCTTTCTGTTTCACAGCTTTTTGCTTTTGTACAATCAAAAGCTTTTCCTCTGCCTAAAAAGTCAAACTCTCCAAGCTTTGTCCAAAAAGTGAACTCTTGAAGACTCTGACCTCGAGTTTTCCCTTTGAACCTTATACAACTCTACCCCTTTGTAGTACATGTCTGTCCCTACCTTCCACACTAAATTGTGGGTTTCTTTAAAGCAGAGATAAAGGGAGAAAATAACAAAACAAAAAGCTAGCAGACAGGTAAATTCATCTGATATTAAATTGGATTAAGGTTGGACAAATTTATGGAATGGATCTAAAGTGCTCTCACTGACTGTAACATAGGCTTTAGTCACTTTACTTCAAGGCTTTTTAACGCCATCAGCCTGATGAGAGTTTAGGTGAGCAGGAATCAGTACTCGGATCTTCTTCTTGGTGTCACAGAACTCCTGTGGGGGGACAGGGACTCAAGGCCGGCCTTAAGCCCTGACAGGACTAACTGGGCCTCTTTCTGGCACACACTGGGCCACACGAATCTCCATGCAAAACTTCATTATAGCAAAGTCGAATTTAGCTACTTTAAGAGCCATATTATTCCTTCACTGGGAGACTGTGAGAACTCCAATGGAAATTAACGAATTTATTAAGGGAGAGCCCTCTGCAGAAAATTCGATGAGAACCACCGAACGAGCAATCAGAGAAGTCAGAATATTACGCATCCGGGAGCAGTATCTATTACAAGGTGACTGATGACCTAACGCTTTTTTAAAGACATATTCTCGAATACCAGGGCTATGCGGACTCTCAGAAAATGCACGACCTTCAGGGTTAATAATCTCGCAAGACCACAGCACACGGGACAGGGGAATTTTCTTGTACAAACGCCTCATCTACTCCTGTCAAGACACCACAAGTCATGTTCCTTTCTGAGATCCGAGGTGTCGGCTTTATCACAGAACAGAACCATGATAAAAGAAAAGAAAGGACTTCCCCCTTGACAATGACTACGAAAAGAGGTTTCAGAGGGCCGGAGAATCTACTTTCGACGTATGTGTACACAAACACACACACACACACACAGAGGAAGCCATCCAAAGGACAGTGCAAGCTGGACTTCACCAACACGGCTCGTGCTGGGCCCTGCTGTGGCCGCGTTCGGCCGTCCCCGGCGGAGCCAAGCAAAGACAGAGAGGTCTGGGGGAGCCGACCCCGAGGGCGCCGCCTGGGGATGCTGTCAGTCCACAAACCCCCAGAGGCTCCGACAAGCCACCAGCTCTGGAGTCCAGGGTGAGAGGAGGGGCGGCGCGAGGATGGATGTCACAGACGGGCACAGCAGCGAGGCTGTCACCGGCCGGCCTCCCCCCTCCCGGTCTCGGGCCCCACTCACTCACATGCGGGCCCGCGCCCCCTCGGGCTCCTCCCGCCTCGGGGACAGCAGCCGCCGGGCGAGGAGGATGGGCCGACCACTTCCTGCTTCCGGGACCGCAACCCGGAAGCAACTCCCACCGCAAGGGCGAGGCCGCGCGCCCCAGGGTAGCTCCGCCCCCCCAGCCCCGCGCTTCCGCCGAAAACGGCGGCGCGACGCGCGCGGGAACGCGGGTTCTGGCTCCCCCTGGCGTCCCTCTGGGGCGTGGCTCTTCTTCCTCCGTCGTGTTAGGCCTTGCTGGCGTCTGCTCCACACAAGCATTTACCGAGCCCCCTGCTACGTGCCAGAGTGTGTTAGGCATGAAGGGGTGAGAATGGGGGGGATACATACATGTGCAGCCGCCTCGCCCCTCTGGGCGCCCCTAGTCTGAGAGAACGGCCTGCAAACAAATCACTCAACTTGAGACTTGACCGCTAATTATGGAGGACTTACTCTGTGCCGGACGTTACTGTGTGCTTGGCATTTGTGAAACCGCTTCAACAACC